TGTGGCACAGTAGTGTCATTCCATGAAAAGCGGCGTATGGTCTGCAAGTAAAAGAAAATTTAAATTTGTTTGACTTTCATTTACAAAAAGTGCACTGTAATTTAAAATGTTTGATGATTGTTTAAATGATATCTGGTATGTAACAAAAAGATAATTTAGACAGTTACTTAAGAAAATAATGGCATTCTATAAGCATGACAGTACAGTCCCATAGAACCAGGAGGCTCAAATTAATTTAGTTTTAATGCAAACAAGAGTACAACATAGGCATAGCAATATACACCCAATGGAAATTTGTAAAGTAAATAGAATTTAAAGTCATCAAAAATAATGTTTAAACAGAGAAAATACTTGTAATTATTTATTTCCATGAAATTGGCACGAAGTATATATACTGACTGAAAGCAACAATGTTGGTTTTCAAATTACAAAAATCAAAGAAACATATATTAATATTATACCAGAAATTCAAAAGATTTTCACAACATATTATGCTAAAAATAATAAAAAAATCAAAATTCTATGCATACAAATAATGTTCTTCTTTTTTTTTATTTCCTCTCTTTACATTTATAACAAAAAACGTCATCAATACTCACACAAACATCCATCAAAAAACTGTTAATTCTACTTTTACAAAGAGATGAAACATGTTAAAAATCTATGTATTGCATGTTGTATGTTGGAGGTGAAGACTTTGAAAACATGTATACTATATACATCTGTTTTCATGTAATCTGTTCAATACCTACCCACGCCCACAAACCCACTGGGCACAGCCATTTTTCAATATCAGTGAAGTGATCTTTTGAACAATTGCGTAGTTCTTTTATATAATACTACATGGCAAAAATTGAAATATGTAATTTGTAACTTTACATAAGAATATGGCCCCTGGGGCAGGACCAATATTGACCCCAGGAGCATGATTTATATAAATTGTGTAGATGTCAACAAGGGATGCTTCATGCAAAATATGTAAGCTTTACATAAATATAATATTTGGGCATACGAAAATGTGTTGTTATCACATTCATTGATTGAAAGCTTTTAAAATACAGCAATTCAAAAATGCAATGGGCTAAACTTAATTAATTGGTATTTCTTCCTATGAACACATATATTACTCTTTCAATTAGGTAAAGACTGTCGATAATATAGCAAAACAGTATTCATGTCCAAAGTTTTGATAAGGTACCTTAAACAATGACATGTTATATGTATTGTTGTTTTGTGAATTTACATATCTCAAGAAACAGTTTATCATATCTCAGTTTTTCAGCTATTATAATTGTCTAATTTCAAAATAATCATATAAACATGTAAAAACTTCCAAATTACCATAACAGAAAAAAGTATTAAGGTTGATAAAAATATCATAAAGAAATAGACTCTGGAAAATAAAGGGATGTAAATACATACATATATTGTGTGAGGAAACATATTAATAAATCTATACATTGTAATCTCCCTTTGTAATATTTATTTTGAATCAGTCAGTGTGACCTTGACCAGAGGTAGTCCAAAACTGCGCCCTGCACATCATCTCAGTAATATAGATAGTACTGCCAAATAAAAGGTTAACCATTTTGTTAAGGTCTATTCTAGAAACTATAGAACCTTTTAAATTCAAAATTCAAACTATTATACATGTTCACTATTTAAACATGACAAATTGTTTAAAAGGGCATATTATGTTCAATTCATTTTGCAAAGTTATGTCTCTTTTGCGTATTCTTTCTAAGGTAATTTTCTTAAAAATTGTCAAAGTAAATCACTTCAAAATTTAAAATGTGGTGGCATTTGAACAGGCACGCATTTCCAAAAGGTACTTAACTTTATTTTTTAATTTTCTTTCTCTTGGTTAATGTCCCTTTAAATGTCTTTGTCAACTTTTTTGTCAACTTTTTTGTTGTGTCACATTTCTCAAAATGTATCTAAGACATCACTTACAACTTGGAAAACATTTTCACTTTGGAAATTGAAATGCGTTTCTAGGGAGCAGATAATCCAGAAAGCAATTTTCGCTGATTTGTTTGTTTGTTGTTGTTATTTTTAAAACTTTTTCTCAACATTTTAAGGTATTTATCATAAAGGCGGGTATATCTGTTAAGCACATTTGTAGAAGTTTTCCCCATTTCGATGTTGCTTTTATTGAACTGAGGGTAGTAGAGAGGTCTTGTTCCTTGAAGTTTTATGAAAAACACTTTCCACCGAATTGAATAGAAATTGAGTACAAATTTCAAAAAAAATATTCTGGTAACATGCAGCAAGTCCAGCTAAAATATTCATATAATTCTATCAATGGTAACAAAAAGGTACTTGCATAACAGATATCAAGCAAACAATTTAGAGAAATAAAGAAACCCTAAAGAACGCTAACAAGACAAAACTGAAAATGATGCAGGCTTGGTTTGATTTAGCCTGTTCATGGACGGTCATGGAAAGTGCAAGTTACCGTCCACGCCCCCTAGCACCGGCTTGAGCAGAAATCAACATTGTATCATGGTAATGGTGAAATTTTGAATTTAGAAACATCCGCAGTTGTTTTCATAAGACGGTTATCATGGAACCTTCAATGTGACACTTTTGTGACCTTTCGTGAAAAGCGGCGTATGGTCCCCAAGTAAATGAATGCGTGTGCCTTAAACGAGAAAACAATAGGCGGAACTAAATGAAATGGAATTTTGAAAGAGGATCAGAGGTTATGAAGCCTGCATATCATAGATAGGCTATCAAAAGAGAAATTTAAAATATAATTATAGAATTCACAACAATACAATAAGTATTGTGTTATGACAAAATTATTTCAAAAACTTTTTGAAAATGCAAAGTTATGCAAACTAAAGAATACACATATTGTACCATTATCTTGATATATGTGATGAATACATTCAAGAAAGACTTTACGAAAAGAGATCTGCATTTTATAGACGTTCCATTTATTGCATTAAGTGGACACAACATAAAGAATGACCATTCTGTGACTGGACTTGCCAATTTTGCAATAATTATACAAGAAAATCAGGATTGAAAAAAAATCTTTCTGATGAAAATTGAAAAGGTTTTAATCATAACAAATTCTTAAAAGTCTCTTGAATGAATGCGCGTAATTTAAAAGATGCAAGTATAACAATGTGTTCAAACTTAAAGCTTAAAAATGGTATAACTTCAACCTTTATAATTGTGTAACTGACGAATAGCTACCATTTTATCTTACTTCAATACTTGTACTTATTAAATAACTATACGTTATAAGTTCTATAAAAAGCACCTGCCACGTTCAATAACACGATCGCCTGCCTTAAAACAGTGCCAATATCTATATCACTTTTTCGGCCTCGGGTTGATAAGTTATATAGATATAAAGCCCTCATTTGAAGTAATTTGATTGGCTAATAAAGTAGGGCCAAAAATGATATGCATTTCTGCTAGAAATCGGGAAATGGCAGCCATTTTATTTTAACTCGGTCTATGTGTAGACGCATGTCTACACAATACGTTTTAATAAAGTTTTTTATACAATTGTTATATCATATGGCAAAATAAAGACAGTTGTTATTAGTTAAAATATGTTAGAATTAAAATAAGAAGAAATATCGGAGGATTAAATATTATAAGTACTTGTAGTTATTTAATAAAATTGTCTATAAATAAGTGATTTGATATTGGCCTTCGGCCTCGGGCCAATACAACTGCCCTCGGGCAAATAACAGGGCCAATATTAAATCACTTATTTATGAACATATTTTTCAAAATGTGCATTACTTAGTTAATTAAGTTGTCAATTAGAATGTAAAACTTAGGTCTTGTACAAATTAAGCCTACAGTCAAAACCTTCACATGTGACTTTTAAAGGGGAACTTACAAAAATGTCACACGACAGCGAGTTCTTACATAAAGTCCTAAAGAGAATTCGATTTTTTCAAACCATTTGATATTCTGTTGTGAATTGATTAATTATATACTATAACCGATTTAATCGGCGGGGCATAACAAATTCCAAGAATGTATCAATTTAAATATAATATACAAACATAGTTGGCCTCTTTGGTCGACTTGTTGATGATATAAATGGTATGCGTTAATATTGCGTAACGACCAGAATATGACCATCTTGTCGCCGTCCGATAATTCACGGACCTTGAAAGAATATTAAATTTCAACTGATATTCCTGATCTATAAGTAAAATACACAAATACACAAGAATTATAATGGATTAAATACTAGGTAATAGAAAGAGCATCGAAACACGAGGCTATCTGATTTGTAACTACGACGTTCCCTGTTGTCACAATATAAAATCCCGGAGAAAAGTAACCGATGAACGATCATCTAAATACGACATTTTTCTGCCGTCACAATAAGTAAACCCCAGCAAAAATGAACAAATCAATTGGCATGCTCTGGAGTGCGGGAAACTAAAATGTATATGTATACGATTTAACTCGGACACATTTTCAACGGAAAGGTCCCCAAACTATGGTACAATTACTTTTACTTCTAGTTGGCTATATAAAGAATTATGGCCTTGATAACTAGATCAATTCTTGATTTTGTACGGAAAATATTTGTTTCATAACTGTCTCAAATGATCAATCTGTCATGTGGCATCCTGGTAGCAATGATTACAGTACTGATCGAAACGTTTGATTTTTTAGCATCATGGCGTTACGTTATTTATTTGAAATCGATGAAGCTATTGAGCGAAACGCGTAAATAATTATTCAAGATAAACTACGTTTTCGAACATGTATGTTTAAATTCTTTTCCATATTTGCTTATTAGATATCAAGTGCTATTGCACTTGATTGCCCTGTCTCTTTAAAAGGGAAATAATGTGAAGCGTGTAAGAATTGTCTGTCACGAATATTTAGCATAATCTAGATATCTTAAGCATTTTCTCAGTATATCTATGTTTATAAACAAAATAATTATTTATACAAATATTAAATGTTTTTATTGTCTTTTAAAATACCACTTATTTATTCCATTCCAGCAATTACTCCTTCACTACAGTATGATTATCCACGAAGCCAGAATCAAGACTTAGTTCAAACATCAGTGACATTTAGCTGTAGTACAGGATGTGCATATATCCTGCACCAAACTTTATTTGGTATTATAATAAGGTAATTTTGATCACTTATGAATTGTGTGGTATAATAAGGTTATGTTATCACTTACGAATTATATGTAAAAGTTGTAAAGTAGTTAACCATCTAAAACCAAATACATAGTAAAATATCTTCAAATAAAAAAATATATTCATTTCTTTTGTAGTCATCTCTTTAAAGATTATGTCAATTATGCTATGAATGTAATACATTTGTTGCATTGCAGACTGGTGGATCACGTCAGGAATGGTCAACAACAGCACCTGTAACCGAGAAAACTGGTGTTTGTTCTGACTCTGAGAAAATATATACATCTAAATTAACATTGTCAAGAAACTCAGCGTTTACTGACAATACAGATACCACTGTGATGTTTCAGTGTGGTGCTATATCAATAACTGGTGCAGGAGATCAACTTTTTACTCCAGCATCAGTAGACGTCAGATTTGCAGGTAAATATTTTTTTTTTCATTTTCTTATTAACTTAATGACAGTTTAAGCAATAACATAGCTTTCATATTCATATGATTTATTTGATGATATATCAACCTGTATAGTTTATAACCAAACTCTCATTACTGTTCACTCAATGCATCGATATCTTTCATGTTTGAAATATACCTTTCCTTATAACGTTTGTTTTATTGTAAACAATTCTGGAATACATTGAAATCAAACCTACATGTTATGCATATTTGATATCTTAACAATTTGTGTGTTACTTTTTTTAAAACATCGGGTGATTAAGCGACATTTGTAAACGGTAACATTGTGTTACCGCTAGCTCTGTTTGCTAGCTTTTCGTTATATATTTCAATATTTCAATGTTAATAAACCTAAACAATATTCAAGCCAAAAAATCCCATTGCTACACATATTTCTAATGTAGCTATTGTATTTTTCCCGTTATGCATATATATATGTATGCATACTGAAGCTATTGTATATAATATCCGTTATGCATACATATTTTTTTCTATGCGGGAATAGTTTGATAACAAAATGACACGATATACATTGTACAGTTAAAAACAGAAAATATTTCTCTCGAACATGGTCTGTGTATATATTACTCAAAAATTTACACATAAAACTAAAATTAAGTAAAATTATAAGAGGTAAACCAAAGTTACATAAAACAAAGTGTTATGTAATTATGCATCATGTTTCTATTTGAAAAGTTTTTTTTTCCTGTCTAACAATTACTCGGTGCATATCCATATCGGTGGCCTCTTTGTGAAATCTACTCAAACGGTACCCTCTTTGCACATGCACGGGCCATTCTCTGCTCAAAACAAACCACCGATGGATAGATATCAAAAGAAATTTCATTGTAACGAGGACATGACGTATGTCATGTGGTAAAGTAGTATACCACGGAACACTAGAATGTTTAAGTTTTTGTGTTGGTTTTTCATGTGCCCATTTTTCAATTACTGTAACTTCACAATAAGCTGCATAAAATGGACATGTCTTGCCTCGCCCGTCGCCTCGACATATTTTTGGGGTTTAAATGAACCATCTTCAGACAAATTGCTGTTATTAATCAAACATAAATGTAAAATTAATAAAATCACCCTACTTTCGGTTTTGCAGAGGCACGGGCTACCTCTTTGCTATTGATTTTGTATGTCACAGGTACCCTCTATTTCAATGCTTTTAATGCACGGGAACCCTCTTAGCACAGAGAAACAAAGAACGCAAGTACGAAAAATATCTAGGAAAGATTTTATATTACACGTAAAAGGAATTCGACCGCAATGTTTCGGGTTTTCATTTATGTAAGTAAAATAAATAAATAAACAAACATTGCATACTGGAGTGCTTTACTCCTCTGTATTATTTTATTCAAATTTACATGTATAGTCATAATTGTCGCAATATTCCAATTATGATGACTGTTGAAGAACACAGTGTAGTTAAACAGTGAAACAAATAAATGACGCTTTTCAACAGTTGCAGGTCTACGTAAAACGGGTTCAGCATTATGGCTACACCATCCCAAAAACCGACTTGTACTGACCAATTACGAAATCAGTACGATGGCAATCAACTTGTCTTGAACACCGCAAAATATGTCAAAGTAGATATGCCCAAATATCGACATACTAAGAGAGGTTATTATACACTTGTGAGAATAGTACAGAATTATATTTAAATGGACGAGTACACTGCCGTCAAACATGTATTGGACGAGGTGCAAGTCAAGCCAAATATAGGTTTTGCAGCTGTGTATGAGTCCAATACAATCATTATTATTCCCAACATTGTTTAATCATACCACAATTGTTTGACTTTTTATCTTCAAATATAATTAAGGTTTGATATGAATGTTTGGCCTCTGAAAACGAGAACAAGGCTAGATGGAGTACGATATGCATTTTATATAATTATTAAAAGGAGACTATATGGCGAACAACTTGACGAACTTGATATATATATTCACTTTACATATTTATGTGGCTATTTGGGTAAGATATACGATTTCATATGGACTTATTGGAATCTGTAAATGGAAACGAGGCTTAAATATTATTATTTAACCAGTAATATTTTATTGAAACACCACATAATGCAAACGCTGAAAGCTCATTGGCTATATAGATGTGAAACAAAATAAATGGTGGCGTGTTGAGTTGTGTTATTAGTCTAAATGCCAGGGCTGTGTAATTTGTAAAAAAATGCTTCTATAAAGTTTTCGCTATATATTGAAATCCAGTTACCTTAGGCCACCCAATAATAAACTGTATAGTGGTCTATTATACGATAATCCATGGTAAACATGATTAACCAATTTTTTAACTATAATCAAATCAACAAAAGCCCTGGCACAGGGCGTTACCTAACAATTTGGCAGACAATAGGATTTTAAAGTAATTCATGTTTGTCGTTATGGCAACCAGAACATTAAATGGAATCCAATAATGTGTGACGCAACTTGACGGCGATCAACGAACACAGGTTGACAAAAATTTTACAATGAGTACACGCTGCTCAGGTAAGCTAAAAAGCAGGCATTCGATTAATTGAGATGTACTATATATATGAGCTGAAAAAAGCAAAAGAGTCAATGTCACACATAATAAAAATAAATGAGATAGCAATCTTAAACAATCATTGCATTCCTATCATAAACGATTAACGAAATTAAAAGTAAAGACAAATGTGGTGCTTAAAGGGTACCCGTGCGTTAAAAAAATTGAGAAGAGGTTACCTGTGATATAAAAATTCAAAGGAAAGAGGTAGCCCGTGCCGCTGCAAGACCGAAAGTAGGGTGTTTTTTATGAATATTACATTTATTTTTGAATATTTAATGCAATTTATCTGAAGAAGATATATAAATGAACATATGTAATATCTATGATGCATATATAATCAAGCCACTGGTCCATTTAAACCCCAAAAGTATGTCAAAGCGACGGGCGAGGCAAGACATGTCCATTTTATGCAGCTTATTGTGAAGTTACAGTAATTGAAAAATGGGCACATGACAAACCAACACATACATTAAACATTCTAGTGTTCCGTGGTATACTACTTTACCGCATTACATGCGTCATTTCCGTGTTACAATGAAAGTTTTTTTTTGGATTGTTATCCATTGCTGGTTTGTTTTAAGCAGATAATTGCTTGTGCATTTGCAAAGAGGGCACAGTTTGAGTAGATTTCGCAAAGAGGGTACCGATATAGATATGCACCGTGAATTGGAGCTTTTTAACCAAATGTTAGCAATGCTTGCATAACATTAACTTGATAATTACTTTGTGTAGCTATTAAGAAAATATCCATTTTGTAAACATTGAAATTAAAAAAATATTGAGTTTTCAAAAAAGAACAACTTCTATTTAAGGTGTCATTTTTACTTGTTTCTCGCTTGACTTTAAAAAATGTGTAATCATTTACAAATTCACCTAACTGTTAAAGAACTATCCTCATTTCTATACGTTTATTGTAGAGTTATCGTTACATTTCATTTTATAGTGATATTGAGTATTATTTAATATTACTTTTAATACCGTGCTATTAATAATATTTACATCAGGAATTCATACATCAAATGGCAGTGAGCATTGTTTTTTTCCTTTAATAATAATATTTGTTCAAAACGTTAAATAAGTGCTATTTATTCTATTGCACAGTCTTTGCATATTTTATCTTAGGGATAAAAATTTGATCACCAAAACAAAGAAAAGCCTATTGTCCTCTTAAAACGATTTAAATGAGTTTTATTAAGTAGAATATCACACTGGCCATAGCTTTCGCAGAAGCGGTGGATCCATCGCAGCGACGGTGGAGTATTTGTCGCAAATGGTCTTTTGCTGTGGTCGGTAAGTTAATGACTGCAAGTTTTTTTATGTTTTAATATTCTACGGGAAACACCAAGTGTGACTAGAGCCCACATATGTACACCACCAAATTATTACACGCACACGGTGCAATTCATTGCCATTTATGCAAACACTTTACAGTTTAAAGAGGGGATGCCACTTTTGCCTAATTTAAGTGACACTTACACAAAACAACCTTATTTTGGAATGTTTCGAAATTGTTATTGCCCGTCTATAAAAGAATTGACAAAAATGATTTCGTCGGATTCGATTGCAACGCAGTGCTGTTGCCCCGATACAATTAGTGTTTATATTAAGGGTATAACTTGACATAACCCACTTTGCAGTTGAATTCAACCCTTTGTTCTTACTTTGACATCAGAGAAACGTGTTAATCTTGTGATTAAAACAATAAAGTAATATATATATATAAATACATATCTGAGTTCAGCTTCCATTTATTTTCAATTGAAAACTCATTTGGCCGCTTTTATCATAGAATAGACCTCGTTCAATCTGAGACTTAAAAAGGACCGTAAGTACAAGGTTCAACAATTTTCTTGTCAAACAAACATGTTAAAGACACGGTAAAGATTAACAAAACATGCTTCTTGACTACGAGAACAATGTCACTGTCCTCAGAACACCAATTTGCATAAAAATTATCTCTACAACAGAGTGTCATTTTAGGAACAGTTTTCTATGTATTACTTTTTTTAATACCTGCTCGTGATATAGCTTTTTCATCATTTTCTTAAATTGTGACATTTATCGAAGAAAAATGGCATTATGTTTAAGAATTTAAATTACCTCTAATGAAATTTGAAAACAGGTAACAAAATATTTTTGAGAATTTAATGTTGTTTTTGAGAATTTAATGTGCAAAACTATAATGAAAAACATAACAAGAAAGACGGATTTTAAGACGTATGAATAAGTTATCTGCCCTTGTAAAATTATAAGAATTTACACCACAGGCACAGATATATGCTGTATCATAGGCAGTATTTATAAATGTCTACTTTAAATCATGCTTGACACTGAAATATATGCAGACAGAAAACGACCACAAACAAATGCTTATCAATAAAACACTTAAATATCAATTGGTCTATGCAACTCCCTGCACATCTGTAAATTTCCTTTCGGTGGTGCATCAGGGTCAGATGCCATGACTCCTAGTTTCCGCTGGGCCTTGATTCTTGTTCGGTCCGGGTTTATATTTAAAGGTATGATCTCTAAAGGCAATATCAATATAAAGAGAAAGGGCACTTTATATGTTTTTACTTTACTGCACATTTAACTCGAATGGTGCATTACTTCTCCACATGAAACAACTCAAAACCGATATCTGATCGCATACAGAAATACTTTTAAATTAGTAATAAAACAAAATAGTTGATGAACGTAGACTTAACGTGATGTCAAATTGGAAAATGTTGCACTCGATGGAAAAGTGCGTTATATGTCAAATAAAACACTTAAATTGATATAATGGTATCGGACCACCATAGTCTGCGTTGTACTCATTATTGTCATTTATTTTATAAACAGGCAGTATCAATTTCAAAACATTTCAAAATATGATTGTTTTGTGTTAGTATTATTCATACGAAGTGATGCCGGTGAAATAAGGAGTCGATTTGCACACCTTTATGTGTGTTTAAATCAAAATTAGGCAAAAGTGGCATCCCCTCGTTAATCTGTCCAGAAGTGATTGCATAAATGTCAATGAATTGCATCGTGTGCGTGTGATAAATCGGAAAAGTACATATTTGGGCTCCAGTCTGACAAGATATTTTCCGTAAAACATAAAAACATAAATTCAGACATAAACTCACCGACAACAGCAAACGGCTATTTTTTATCCACTGCTTCTGCGATGAATACTCCACCGCCGCTGCTATGGATCCTACGCTTCTGCAAAAGCTATGGCCAGCGTGAATATGTGTTCTGGTTTTAACCTTTAGTATTATACGATATTTTCAAGAAATCAGTGATGCCTTTAAATTGAGCAATTTTCGTTAAGACTATATCACAAAGATAGCCTTAAACATCTTAATATACATGTATTCAGCAAGTTAAGCCTAATTGCTTTTCTTTAAACTTATGTTATCAAGTACTAAATTTTAAAGCTGCATGTCTATAGATGAGTCAAAATATTTTAAAATAATCAAACCTGAGAAAAAAAAACCGAGATTTTAAAGAGATGTATAACAACTCAAGATACAAATCATATTTTTCATGTTAATTAAATGACCGATTTTAAAGTATTTATCGCCATATTTCTACTGCGTGACTTACGCAGTATGTACTATTTTGCATATTTCGACCTCTGTATTTTATATGAGTTGTAAGTGCTGGTTGCAGTATGTGTTTAGTTTCTTTGTTCAATTCACAATGTCTTACTTCTGAATACATTTCAAAATTGTCATGAACATCAGCATGGATTTTGAGGCATGCTGCTTTTATAATGCTACATTATTTTGTACTTTGTGCAAAAAAAGAGATCTACTTCGATATAACATACATGAAGATGTGATTTTCAGTCTTTTAATTTCAAACAAAAAAATCATACTGTTTTCATGATTTATTTTCAAGAAAAAAAGTACTAATGGCATTTTGAAAATGAATTTCGATAAGGAATTTTGAGAAGAAAAAAACAGTTCTAAAGGTCTTTTTTAAACTCAGGATGAAAAGACACGGCTTCATGGAGTCTACTTATATGAGTTATATAAACGTGCAACATCTTTCAAACATTCATTACATTTGTCAGCAAGAAAAGAGTTTTAGAGTTTTTAGTTTTCAATAATTAATCACGGAATAAACATTCAAGAAAAATAGGATACTATTAAGAAAAGTCTTTCACTGCTACTCCGTTTTAGGTTGTGAATATATAATTTTGGAAAAAGTGGAGATTAAATCAAAAGGGGAAACCACACTGTTTATTTGAAAAAATTGCCGATGAATTAATCGAAAGTTGCCTTTCTATAAGGGAATCATATTTTCATTGTTTAAAAATGTCAATTTGAGCTATCAATGCTTTTACTAAAGTAATTGCGTCAAATAAAATATATCCAATTTTAATTTTGACAGGCTGGTTTCTTGAAAACTGTCATTTGCTGATATTGTTCAAAGATAATTGCTCATGAAATAAACTACACTTTTATTTGGTTCGGCTTTTTACTTAATTTAATAAACAAAAATTGTTTAGACGATTTATAAAAATTGAATATCACCTATGCACGTATTGACGGTACTGATATAAAAGAGATCCTCAAAGAAACAAAAGTTCATATATTGTAGGTTTTATTTGGAGAACAATTCTGTCTCATAAGGAGCTGTATACGCAGCGTTTTGTCCAAAATGGTCCGAAAGCTATTTTTTTTATCAACATGTTCATATTTTAGATAGAATTGCAATTTCGATTCAGTTCAAAATCGGTGTTATAGCCGATTAACAATGTTAAGATCGATATCATTTCGAATTTAAATTGACAAAACAAAGGCTGTTATTAACGGAGCCCCTAAGGTAACATTTTGCACTCTTTTTTCCCAGAACTTAATTCGTTTTTTACGAAATAATAATTCGTAATTACGAAATATTACTCCCTTAAACTAAATTGCATTGTGTTTAAATCTCGTTAAAAATAAAACTGTGGGCGTTAAGAAGTTTTCAATTATATATCAGTATTAAGCATGTCTTTAAAGCTATTATTCCACGCGTTGTATTTTGTGCGTCAAAAGATAAACACTCTCTCTCTCTCTCTCTCTCTCTCTCTCTCTCTCTCTCTCTCTCTCTCTCTCAATTTCTGTTGCTTAAGGTGTTTTTGATTATATTTGTTTTTATTCTCGACTGCTCAGTATCTTATCTGCATTTACAAATACATATTCTCCGTCTGGCAATAACTTGTCTGTATTTTATGGAGTATATCACTCTCATGGAAACTGAAATTTTATTTCTATTCATATTTGATAACTTTAACCAGATAGGCTGATGTTCTAGACCCGTTTTGTGTTGGAGAGTAGCTGTAATTGACAATTAAATTAAAGTCCGTTGTATGGTTGATATTTGTTGTCTTTTATTCTGATAATATAATTATTATTATTTATGTTATTGACGTATACGTTAATTTATTTTGTTTTACATTTTTGAAAATATCAAAATCAGCTCCACTAGAAATAAATCTAAGCAATCACCATATAATTAACTGACCTTTCATTTGTACATTCATTAGTTCAGGTAACAGGAAGTACACTCAAAAATGGAGCTGATACAGTTTCTGGACAATTACAAGTTGTAAGTGGTGTAAGTAAAACTCTGACATGTGAAACAAGTGTAAGCAGACCGGCAGCTACAATAGTATGGTATATAGGAAATCAAGAGAAACAAAGATCAAACTCTACAGCCTTTACATTCAACCCACAAAACAACGATCATAATAAACAGGTTTACTGTAAAGCCTTTAACACACAACCTGAGAGTCAAGCTGCCATTTCATACAAATCAACACTCTTTGTGCAAGGTGATATAATTTCCTTGAAGTGTTTTTATGGCTATAATAATGTAACAGAAATTCGTGACACTATAATAGTGCAGAATCCGTACAGAAAGTCTCATTTAACAAGACATCTCATGAATACAACAACTAATCGTAGAATTGTCCCCGTGTGTTATACTTTTGATCAGTAAAAGGTGTTTGCCTTAAGCAGCTGGGCCTAATGCAAGAAGAATTTAACCTTAAAACAGCGTGCTAGAAAGACGATTACATTTTATTATATAAAATGTCTCCTCCGCATTAAACTTATTAATACGAGGGTTGTTCAAAAAGTAATAGGACTGCAGTTCTACTGTTCACATTTTTTAATTTACGTGCACAATTTTACAAGATAATAATATCGGAACATATCCTCTATATACAGTGAAAAAATCAATAAAATATGTTTAAAAATAACGAGTCTGTGAAAATTTCAAATGACAAGGGGTACGCGACCCGGCGCACGCTAACAGCACAATAGATGACGTTTATGACGTCGTAAAATAAAAACAAAATGTATCAAGCGTCATCCCTTCTGAAAGAATTCTCCCTAGTGTTCTAGGTGTCTAAATCATGTAACTTTGACCAGACCTCATATGTGGAGATGAAGCGAGAAAGAAAACGATCACATTCTTGTTCCACTCTCCGAGAGAAAAAAAGCCCGATAGCCGGCCACTCTCCGCTTTTTCTCGTATTCTTGTATCTTATAGTAATCAATATAGATTAAACAGGCATGAACTTATGATGTTAATGAAAAAGCGATTAATAGAATTATTTTACACATATCATCGTACGTTCTTAAAATAATATGATTATGTAAGTAAAATAACAATAGTTATCAACTGAAAAGTATATTTTCCTACTAGGAACAGCGTATCATTTTTAAAAGAAAATCGGGGAAAATATTAATAATTACCGTTAATCTTTATAACATTTATAACATTAATTTATTGATAACACATATATCTAGTTAAATGAAATAGAATTTTGTTTGAAACAAATCATTTAGGCAGAACTGAATCAATAGACCCAATGCAGAAATCAAACATGCCGGACAGTTCGTGGACTGTTTACCGTCGATCATTTTGTAGCGCTTTTTCATTTGACGTCACTAACGTCCCGTCAATTTCCCGCTATCATTCTCATCCTTTCCTGTTTGTGATTTCGTATGTGCAGTTTTTGAGTTGTTTGCGCAAGCTGAGAATGAGTATCCTGATAGCCGATTAATTGTACTGTGTTAATTTTATGTTTTCATATGTATCTGAAGGAGTATCGCCAATTTGTTGGCAAAGTTTAACGATCACACACATTTTCAGTTTTTTAATGAATGTCAAATTTCTACAGTTAACGTTATGACCACTGCTGTTCAAAACTTGATGATTTAGCCATTTCATGTCTGAATGACGTCAAATTTGGGCATAAGGTCACTTAAATATAATAAACTGTATTGGTGGAATAAATGGGGGGAAAAAGAAAATAAATTATGAATAAAATAGAAGTTCAACTAAGCTTCAATAACCTTTTTATGTGCTGCGCCGGGTGCGTGTTTCCATGGTTATTCAATTACACAGAGAACACGCGTTAAGCAAAAGAATTCAATATTTTTATGTTTAAATTGAAGAAAACATTTTTCGATCGCTGTACATATAAACATATTCTAAATTGAATTGAATATGAAGATGCAAGACTCTTAGTCCTATTACTTTTTGAACAACCCTCGTACGTTCACTTTCAAAAGAGTTTTGAAACGTTTCAATTTTATATTCATGCTAACAATGTCATGTTATGCACGCTTTAAATGATTCATTATATAATAAAAATGATTGATATATTAATATAGATATGCAGAAATGTGGACGAAATCTTGGAAGAAATAATGTTGAAAAATGCTCTGTTAAGAAAAAACAATGCTACCCTAGCATCATTTAATGAGACTGTAATAAACGAAACTTTTGAGACTGTTATATTTATTAAAGTTGAATTTGGCCAAATATTGAAAAAAATACTTTACATTTATATCGACGTCTGAAAAATGTCTAAATTAAATATAGTAGTTTATTCACTATTCCTGCATGTATAAACATGTTGATATTATGTGAAGTTAATGAGCAATGTACACATATTATATCGTCAATAGTATACACTGTTATAATTCATTATTTTTGAACTTGAACCTTTATTTTAGAACGGGCAACAGTAAAATCGTTCTACATTGGTCAAAATGAAAGTCAAACAGTAGCTACCATTGAAGAACACGATGTGAACATTCCACTTACTTGTGTTGTTAGTGGAATGCCTGCCTCCGAAATTTATGTTAGTTTCAAGGGGGGTATTATTGCAAGAGGGTCTAACACAAATAAGCTACAATACAATTTTGGAAAGATTGCTTGCACTAAAAGTGGCGTATATATCTGCAAAGGCTTTGATATTTTCGGGATGTTTACAAGCAGAACGGTTGAATTGTTTGTGGAGTGTAAGTTAGTTAAATATTATTGTATATTATTTGCTGATCGTAGGTTCCTAAATTTATATTTGTTTGTATAATAAAAGATATAAAGGGATATGTTTGATCCTACATTTTCTTAATTATTATAACCAGAATAAACTTTACGTCAGACTTTACATATGTTTAAACCAAAGCAGTGCTATTGTATGAGCAATTGATATTAATTCAACTTTTTGAAATATAAATATTAAAGATTTAAAGGAGCGAAATAAATTCATCAAAATGTCACCATATATGTTTTGATGAAGGTACAAGCACAAACTACTTTATTAGTAACTCTTAGGTTAAACATATTTTTGAAGAAAAAAAATGAAATTGTTTATATATTGATAGGTTCACCAAGACCAATACGACAAGTCCTTCACAACATAACCAGTCACATTGGTTCATCAATATTACTTACCTTCAAAGTGATAGCATATCCTGAACCGGGACCTAAAGGCTTTAAATGGTTCATTGAAGACAGGCTTAATTGGATTTCTTTATTAAGTAACGAAGATTTTCAAATTTCATCGTCTGGTTTTGAGACTAATTTAACAATCTCAAACGCATCTAGGGAGCATTATGGAAAATATCGTGTTACTGCTGTAAACAAAGTCGGCTCATATGACCAGATATTTTTTCTTTCAGAAAAAGGTATAACCAGTCGCTTCTTTTTAATTTTCTAAGCATTCATTCATATGTTATATTTGCACACTTAAATTTCATTATTTTTTCATATATAAATTAACTCATTAACTGAAGATTAATGTCATTATAAAATAAAATCATCTTCTTATAATTTGATGTAACTGTACATTGTTGAGTACAATACTAAAGACTTTTGGACGAGCATACAGCTGCCAACCTATATTGGACGAGGCGCTAGCAGCGTGTGGTATAGGTTTTGCAGCTGTGTACGATAAGAATACCAATAAGTACAATAAGATTTTGATATGGACTAAAAAAAGAAAGAAAAAAGCATCGGATGGAGTATAATATGCATTTGATTTAGAAATGAAAACTTGATCAATTGATAAGATATGATCCAATAAAGATTTCTTTAAGAATATCACAGCATGAAACGCTGAAGGTTATTAGCCATATATTATAATTGTTTCGTTCTTCATCAGAATGGTAACAAATCAATGCATACCTGTAACGTGTTGTTTACAACGGAGTAAAAAGGTGGATATATACTTGCTTGAACAAAAGAAAATTGACCAAACAAATACATACACTCTTTGAGACTGGAATAAACATACTAAAAACGTTGACAAGAATGAAGAAATATTGGCCCATATATAACGTACTTATAAGCCTGATATTTCTTTGAAACCGAAATTTGCCGAAATATTATGTATTTACACAATCATTTTGGCACTGTTCGTATATGGGAAAAATGAATCTGGGATAGATTGTACTGGACGCACACCAAAAATGTGAAGGCTGAGGTGAGCATCTGGTCCCGAAAATATATAAAAAGATAAAGAAATTGTTGAAAGAGATGCCAGAAATACAGTGAGTAGAATTGTATGAAAGCAGCAGAAAGATATTCTCAAAATATTTTCCGAAATGTAGTAACTAGTAATGAACTTTGAGCTGTACGAAAAACAAACAATCAAAAATGAGCTACCAAAGCTAGCAAAAGAAAATGTAACTGAACAACTCAATGAGTACCAAAAAAAGGTTTTGTATGCATTTTTTTCGTTGTACAAGTGGTGCAATTCAGGTGCCAGTGATAGAAAGACAAAATTGTTACATGGAAGTACTCTAAAGAAGAAATTTGAAATTATACTATCAAAGTAGGTTTAAACATGTACGACATTTACACGATATCGTCCCTCATAAGTCATAAGCTCATATGTCTGTCATTATAAGACCTTTTCACAGAAGAAAGTTAATAAATTTATCGCACCCTGCTTATCCAAAACACCTTGCCCCTCGAGATTGTTTTATTTTTCCAAAATTGAAAACGTTCTCGCTTGAACAAGATGTTTATCACTTGGATCTTACAACAATACCTTACCAGTATACCAAAATCAGCGTACCGTGACACATTCCGGAAATGTATCCATCAACAAAAATAGGTGGATGACAGTAGAAATAAGTGATTCTTTAATGTTAAACGTTCAACTTAAAGACAAGCAATATTTGTTTGAACATATATCAGTAAATTTTATACAAATGTAGAAAGCGATAATAATGGGAAGTTCAAATATGATTACAAAAAAATCTAACAATTATTTACACTAAATAATAATGATGTTAGCAAATGCATACAGGTTTTAAAGTAATGATAACACGCATTTTTAAAAAATTAGGAAGTCAATGTAGTACCAAATCTGAACTTCGTGTATATAAAATGAACAAGCAAGGAAATAAGTCTTATTATGACAGCAATTGGTGAAATAAATTTTTCTTGCATTGAACTCGCATCAGTATTATTAGTGACTTGCAAAGCCGGTAAAAGTAGCCAAGTACATTTTATGATGTTATATTTTTTTCCTAGAGGTTTGTTCAGCGCAATATTATTGTTGTGTGTGCTATGGTAGCTGATTTGTGCCATTTCGTGTTTTCGCTCCGAGACCCCGTAAAGCGAAATGTCGAGAATTAACTAGATAAAAGACGGGGCAACGGAGCGAAAACAAGCTTATTAGCGGAAGCGCAGGGCAAATACATAAAACGTCGCCCCAGGGGGTTGCTGCGGTGGCATAGTGGGGATATCAGAAATATTTTATCTATCACGTGCGCACGCGATGGGGGACATCAGAAATAGTTTATCTATCACGTGCGCACGCGATGGGGGACATCAGAAATATTTTATCTATCACGTGTGTACGCGATGGGGGACATCAGAAATATTTTTCTCTATCAAGTGCGCACGCGATGGGGACATCAAACATATTTTATCTATCACGTGCGCACGCGATCGCTACTACTTGCGCACGCGATAGCTACTACGTGCGCACGCTATTACTAATACGTGCGCACGCGACAGCTACTACGTGCGCACGCGACAGCTACTACGTGCGCACGCCATAACTTCTACGTGCGCACGTAATACCTTCCATTTCTAAAATGGACAGATAAGTGCTTATTCATGACTTGTTTGAAATTAAAAGCTATCGCGCGCGCACGTAATAAATAGTCGCGTGCGCACGTGGTATTTAAATATTTTCCGATATCCCCCCATCCCGTGCGCACGTGACAGATTAAATATTTCTGATGTCCTCCATCGCGTGCACACATGATAGATAAAATATTTCTGATGTCCCCCATCGCGTGCGCACGTGATAGATAAAATATTTCTGGTGTCCCCAATCGCGTGCTCACGTGATAGATAAAATATTTCTGATGCCCCCATCGCGTGCGCACGTGATAGATAAAATATTTCTGAGGTCCCCTCTATGCCACCGTAGGGTTCGGAGCGACATTTAAGAAATAAAACGGCATGGAATAGAGCGAAAACATGCTAATTTGCGGGGGCGCGGGGCAAAGTAAAATTTAAAAAATATCGACCAGCGGGGCGCGTAGCGAGATTTAAGAAATAAAACGGCGGTGACGCGGAGCAAAAATACATCCTTTTATCAAAACTCTCCTATCCCGTCGAGTATCAGTTCTTGGAACACACTCCCTCAGAATACTAAATCATCAGATTTTTTACAACAATTCAAGCGACTTCTTTCTTACCCACACAAACCCCCTAATTATTATAACACAGGCCATTGCAAACTTCAAATTCTGCATAATCGCTTAAGACTTGGCTGTTGTTCCTTGTAACATGATGATCTTTTCGGAAAAAATATTTCAAAATCAAACACGTGCGCTTTTTGGTCAAACAGAAACAGTGTGTCATTTTCATCTAATCTGTCCTTTGTATCAGCATGAGCGAGATATCCTCTATAAGAACATCATACAGCTGGATAGATCTCTGATCATAACTCACACTCTGCTTTTGTATGGTTCAAGGTCCTTTTCAAACAACCAAAACGTAGAGCTGTTCTAGTCTCTGTATCTGATGTGTTCTTAACTCGGTTGGATTCTAACAGGAAGGTCATACTCAGAAATAAAAGAGAAAGAGGAACCAAACATGCTCATTCTCACACTTAGAAGTGTCAAATTAATGCAATACATGACATATGATCTATTTCCAAATACATGAAGTAAAAACAATATATAAAAAAGTCCTATTACAAAATGTATCTTACAATCTTCCTT